AGGGAAAGCCAAAATTTGACAAAGGGTTTTTACATCTGAAGGCAATACCAGAAGCACATACTATGCTTGGAAGCTGAGGTTGTACAAATTCTGTCTAGAAATCGGGTTCACACATTATTTTTTTTAAACAGTAGGATAATTAACAGTAAGATAAAAGAGAAACAAGTTCTTGAAGATTCGAGTAAATATTCTTTTACTGGGAAAATTTTGACAGAGACCAAATCATTTTGGTAAATGACATGATCTGGGCTGAAGAGAGTAGTCCGGGGAAGTCCAGTGGACTGTGCTGTGCAGAAAGTCACAAGAAATTAATGAGGTGGCCTTATCCACACTGATAACAGGTGAACCTTGAATGCACAGAAATCTTTTTGCTGATTGTCTTTCTCAAAGAACCCAGGATCTACCTCCTTTGTCAAACCAAAACACAGCTGTTTTGACAATTGTCCCCAAGCCCTTGGCACCAGCAGATGTCATTAACTGCACGGCATTCAAATGAAGTGGTTGCCCATCGCTGCCTCATGACTGTTCAGAACACATTTCTGGCAGAAAGTTAGCCAAGTGATGAGGGGCTTAACACAAAGGGAGACCAAACCTTGCTCCAAAACTTGAGCAATCTCACTGAGCTGGCAGTAGCTAGAGGGGGTAGGAATGCACAGTCACAAGAACACCTCCTCCTTAAGGAGAAACTCGCTGTCTTTGGATGCACAATGCAGTAAGTCCTCTCTGTGCTCCTTCCGTTGTTACAGCTACTAAGAGCTAACATTAGTGTGCATGAAGGGAGGACACCCAGGGGAGGCAAAACTGCGAAGTACTGTCCTGGAGGAGCTCGTTGGTGCTTCAGGTATTTTTTGGGGCGAGGGGATCTGTGGGGAGGAGGAGAGAAGGGATAAGACTGAAATGTAACTCTGTGATCAGGGCAGAGCCACTCTGTAAAATGCAAGGTAATACGACAGTTTAAAAACTAGTTTTAAGCAAGCTGGATTCAGCACTGAAGCGATGCTGAAGCTGGTGTTGGCAAGGGGCTAAGCAGCATGGGGGAAGACCATTTCTTAGATAGCTTGATACCTCTCTCAGTGGTCTCTTCTGTTGTTCCTCCTCTGCCCTGAGATATTTTTGGGCTCTTGGAGGCTTACATAGCTCACTTTTCCAGCGAGGTTTAGTATATAGCTTCTAAGACCTGCATTCATTCTCATTCCATGTGCCTTCTATTAAATTCTGGCCAGAGGACTTGTTAGCTGTATTTCAGGTCAGTAGGTTATAGCTTCAGTAGAACAGGAAACCTCATTTCACCAGAAAAAAGCATTTCCTCTGTGAAACAGACCCTTTGTCATGCTATACTCTCTGTTCATCACACAATTCAGTGGGATGCTGTAGTATTGTGGAGCTGGTAATCTCATAACATAGTTGCTGGTAGCCTTTTTGGTTTGGTTTTCATTTTTGGTTTTGGTTTTGTGGTGGGTTTTTTTTTGATTAATGAAAATGAGATTTCCTGCAGGTTCTTACAATGAAGGTATTTAGCAATGACCACAAAATTCTGCAGAAACTGCATTTCAGTGCCTCAGTTTCTAATTGGCAGGCAGAAATAAGTCTCTCACTGTCCCCTTAACAGGAATGCTTGAGGGTGATATCAGTTATCTGACTTCTGCTTATCCGTTCCTTACTGCCTTTGGTTCAAATTTCACCACTGGGCTCCAAAGGGTTACTGGGAGGGGTCCTTCCTCTCCAAGCACAGCCTTGCAGCTGGGGCTGCTCACACCAACCCACATCTTCAGCCTGTTACCTTTAGGGCCGTGGCACTTTTTAAACTTTAAATATGCATTTTAAATGAAAACAGTCTAAAAATGCCACGTTTTAGAGACATCTTTTCAAATTAAACCTTAACAACTTGGGGAAACCGATGAACAGCTATTGATAATCCCTTCTGGCATGCATGATTGTGAGGCTGAAACGCAATGTCCCTCAAACGAGCACAGAACTGGTAGAAACTTGCACGGTTTCTGACGCAAGAGCTGCAGTGTGCCTATCACCAGCGCCTTTGAGAAAAAGCTCTTTCATTGCAACCCATTTTACTTCTCATAATGCGCTGCAATTAATTGTCCACTTAACTCTGACATCCAGTTTCAAACAGAAATGTTCAATTAGTACCAACGACTAATGCATCAATTTGAGATGCAGCAGATACGTTTATGTTGATTACAGTAAAATATCTGGAGTCTTAGATGCCTCAGGATAGATATAGAATAACTGACTTTTCAAAGTGTAAAGAGATTTTGATTACCACAGGGGCAAACACTTCGAAATGTGGCTAAGAAACAACAAAAAATATCTGAGATGCATCACAGTCATTCATTTCCCACTGCCAGCAAAACAGGTTTATAAAACTGTTACAGGTATTTCCTCTTTTCCACAAAAGAGAAAACTGCTGAAGAACTTTTTTCCCCTTCCCAACTTCTGGCAGTACGCACTACCTAGAAATAAAATAAGTTGATACACCACTCGTACAAAGAGATAGAGGAACTACTTTGTGAAGTTAACAACACCGCAGTATTAAAAGAAAAACAGCAAAAACTCACTCAGGAGAAACCCCCCCCTTGTGTTGTGAGATTCACTGGTGAAACGGATGACATACAAGAATCAATTTTAAATTACAGTTCCAGGAGCAGTAGCAGCATAGGTGGGATAGTACACAGCCCAGCACTGTTCAGTATTCCCTGCTTCTTTCCTCTAACTGTAGTGTGAACACCCTCTTGACACTTTCATAGATGCAAACATGCTTGAGGATGACACCTTGCCTGAACTCTTCCCCTCCCACGCAATCTTGTATTACTTAAAAATCCTACCAGAAGTTACATTTAGAATTAAAAGAATTATATTTAATCTCTCTTTGAAACAGTAATATATCAAAAATGTATAGCATGGTTGCTAAACTTGCTATTAGCTTTCATTTAGTCTCAGCTCGGGCCAGGCAGGCTTATTTGCACTAACCCAGCATGTCCTTTCCTAACATTCTCTAACAGCCAATTTTGTAACACGCGGTTACCACATATTTGATGTGAAATGGCCCTGAGCACCAAGACTTCACTGCCCATGCAACTTGGTCTGGCAGGATCTGAGCAGGATCTCCATGGGGCCTAGGTATCCATGGTGTTTAATCCTTTACTCAGATAAACTGTCTATGGAGAAGAAGTTGATTGTAATGTATGCAAAACTCAGCTCTCTAACAAACAAAATTTGTAGCTTTGATAGAGCAACATGTGGTTATTATCTGGCTCTGGGAAGGGCAGATTTGCAAATAAACAAACTGATGGATGAGTAGCAGAATTTGTACATTATCTCTGATCTTCTCTGAAAAAGCATGCAGATGCTTAGAAGAGAGGAGAACTAAAACAGAGCGCTCAAAACCACCACAATCATGTGATTTTTGTAAGAATTTTTTCTTCCCACATGTTACTAACTCATGCTTGGTTTTAAGAGTATGGCTAACAATGTCTTAAGGATTAGAGCACCTTCTCTGATCAACATTTTCCAACATTTTTCTCTAGGCTGGAGGACATTTGTATAAAACTACTGGTTACAGGTTGTGCCAGCTGTGATATTCAAGGATTATCCATCAAGCAAGATCCAGGTGGAAAGCTCTGCTGGTTTTTCAGGTGGGCACTCTCATTCCTATATTATCTTAGTCTTTATGTATTTTTTCATTTCTAGAACACGTACAAGGAAGATTTCAGGAACATGATGGAAGAGAACAGGAACGGCAATAACTCCTCTCCTGACTTCCCTCACACCAACACCATGAGTGCCATACTGATTACTGCCTACTCAGTTGCCTTGGCTGGAGGTGGGATCGGGTCCATCACAATGTTGTTTGTGCTGGTCAAGATGAACACTCTGTCCGTGACCACTACAGCCATCATTAACCTGGTCGTTGTGCACAGCCTCCTCCTCTTCACGGTGCCCTTCCGTCTGCACTACTATGTCAACAAGAAGTGGGTATTCAAGATGCCGTTGTGCAAATTGGTGAGCGCAATGGTGCACATACACATGTACCTGACCTTCTTGTTCTACCTGATCACGCTGGTGATCCGGTGGCTCATCTTCTTTCAATGGAAGGACAAGGTGGAGTTTTACAGGAAGCTGCATGCCATTGCGGCAAGCGCTGCTGTGTGGGTCCTTGTCATGGTCTTCGTGGTGCCGGTTTTGTGCTTTGAGTACGGACGCTCAGCGTCATACAACGATACAACATGCTTTAAGTTCCAGAAAGAACTACAGCAGGAGAGTGTGAAAGCCCTGAACTACACCATAATTGTAGCTGTCGCTTGCATTAGTTGCATCCTCTTGGGCCTGCAGATTTTTGTCCTGGCAAAAGTGGCCAGAAAACTTTCCACCTCCTTCTGGTCACACCAAGAGTTCTGGGCCCAGGTGAAAAACTTGATTTTCATATGCGTCATCATAATTTGCTTCCTTCCCTACCACCTCTTCAGGGCCTACTATATACAGCATGTGAGTGATTTTGACCAGTTAGAAAGCTACAATGAAGTTTTTCTGAGCCTGACTGCCCTCAGCTGTCTGGACTTGCTGTCGTTCGTGCTGAGCGGAAGCCGCCTCTTCAAGCAAAAGGTGGGCATGCTCCGCAGCAGGTTTTCTTGCTGCTAGCATCACCCTCCTGCAGCATCCAGGGACCTGGACCTGGCAAGGCACAGTGCTGGAGAGGCATGGTAAACCCTCTCCTCAGCAAGTCAGGATGGGCCCTGGAAACAGCACAACACACTTGGCAGGGTTCTGCACACCTCCTCCCCAAAAGAACAGAGCGAACCGCCTCCAGTGTCTCAGCTGGTGAACCGGAAAGTTACACTTAGGATTTAAATCCTCACTGTGCTGCATAGTGAGTTGTGGGTACGCCAAGAGGAGAGGAAGGAAAGGGCATGGGCTCTTCCATCTTACTGTTTTTCCATCAAGGTTTCTGAAGCCAAAGGCACTAGGAGGACACTCGAGAATTTGCAAAGTATGTAGAAACACAGATAGAAAAGCCATTTTTGATGGAACAAGGTGCAGATTTTTGAAATGTAAGTATCTATATAATTTTCCACATACATTTCTTATTTATTCCCCATGAGCTCTCATAACATATGAGAGAAGCTATTATTCCGCCTGAGTAGATCTGTTCCCTTACTGTAAAGACAAGCGTAACTTCCTAAGTGGATTGAGCAATTAAATAAACTCTTAAAACCAAACCAGCAATAAATAGTTATTTCTTAAAGTATTTTCTCAAAATCACCTTTTGGAGTTGTTATCACTGCAGCAAAAGAAAGTTTTGTTCTCTTTCCCACATTATGGAAATCAGTCTAACAACAAAAATTGCACATTGTTTCAGAAATGAACATTGTAAGTTCAAACCAAAGCCTGTGTTATTATTTACAGAATTGTTCAATTAAAAAAATATACATTTAACAGTGAGGATAATTTCACTTAGATACTTCAAACAGCAGTTGTCTTCTCTTAAAAAGTCAATTTTTTAGGTCTCCAAGGTAACAATTATTTTTTAAATATTATGTTGATTTTGTGCAATTCCAAAGTTATAACTAAGTATCTTTAGCTTGAAATCAGTTCTATAAATTTAGTACCTTGTACTGTAGAAGAAATTAAAATGTTACTGCTTGGATTGGAGGGATTGAAAAAGCTAATAAACCTGGTGTAGCCTATTATATCTCTGAGGTATTGTCAGTTGCTATCTCTGAAGACTGAATTGAATACCATTAGAAAAGTGGAAAAATTCAGCAAAATAATTCTATTAAAGACATTCAGGCTTCCATAGCTCAGCTGGTTTACACCTAACCCAAAAAAAGAGTATAAATCCCTGACTGCTATAATCCAAGACAGCGATAGCTAATATATCTTTCTTCTTGCCACCTGCATAAGGCCACATTTTTTCATCTCGTTTCAGTGGAATAATTTGAAAAATTAGAGGTTATCAGCTGATCAGTTTCCAGTGGCAGTCTCTCCTCAAGATGCTGTTGAAGCCCACCTTTTCATACTTCTGAATCTTTCCATTCCTTTCTATTTCATCTTCAATCTCTTGCACATCAGACAACAATCAAATAGCGATTGGTTGATCTTGTATCTACCTGTGCAACCTTACTGGTATGCTCGTTGCTTTTCATCCCACCAAAATGGTTACTTTATAGGATCCCATCTCTTCTATAGTCCTTCTTCCCTATCTTCCTTCTTGTTTTGAGCCCCTCTATATCTCTTGGGAGGCCTGATCATGAGAAAGTATTTTCATGTCAGAGTCTGAGTAATGCTGTATAACACCAAAGGTTTGAAATCACTGAAGTTCATAACACAGGTGAGATGTGGGGTGCTCACATGGCCCACCTTCGGCAAATAGCCTGGATCACAACATCTGTTAAGATAGAAATGTGAGACCTTGCAGTGTGTGTGGATCTGAGAAAAAAAAAACACAACTGTCCAAGAAGGTGTTTGCCCCAAAAGGATCATGGTAAAGAGAAGACAACTACCAGCCAGATTCAACAGTAGATGGGGAACTGCAGAGACTTTCACAACATGGAAGGAGTCAACTTGAATGTGTAGCTCACTACTAGTTAATTATGTGTTATTAATAAAGCAATAAACTGCTCTGATCCAGATTTGTTTTAAAACTAGATGAAGAAATCAGTTTTTTCTTGTGGTGGGAGAGAGAAGATGGAAAATGGCACAATATTTTTGTTTCCTCCTATAGCAACATCATTGGTGGAAGAAAATAGCTTCCATGTGTTCTTTAGGCATTGCATACGTTTGTAACACTATATCATAAACCTCCTGTCATAATAAAGTTGTTAACAAACAAAATGACTATGTGCTGAAAAAGTTAAGTGCAAATATGCGTATAAATGAAAAGTATTTTGTTTCTCAATTTGGCAAGACTTTCAAAAAATAAAACATGTGTTTACAAACAGTACATCCCGACCACACACCTTAACCAATCTTGTTCATGTATGTGTTAAAATCACAAGTTGTTTAATTCTTGTAAAATCATACACATTCACAATACCCTGTACCATAGCATCACAAAAAATACAGGATGGTGGGGATTTTTTCCAAATAAAAACATGATGCTAATGATATTAATGCTAACTCAGGATGATAATAAGCAGAATTAAGATGTTGTAATTCCATGCTTTAAGTTGGTGATATTATTCAGCACCAAGACGTGCTTTTTATGGGATTGTCTACACAAACTTTATGTCTGCAACTCGTCTTGCTCTGGGTGTGCTAGCTCCTGGCAGAGAAAGCCAGCCCACGCGCTGGGAGGGTGAAGTCTCGGTTAATGCTGACAGTTGTCGTCCTGCCAGGTGGTGACAGAGGTGATGCTTCCAGCAAGGGTGCTGACAGGGCTTGCAGGGAGGTCCAGTTGCTGCTCCCACTGCTTCGCCCCTCGCCGGCTTCTTGCTCTGTTCCACCCTCCCAGCCACCCTCCCTGCTGGCTTCACCCAGAAGGGCTGAGGGGGGTGGAGGTGCTACAGAAGGAGAAGAATCTGCGTAACTCCTGAAAATGAAAGTGTAGACAAGGCCAGAGCAACATCCAAAATGTAGCCAAGTGTCTCCTATGACCAGAGATGGCAGAGGCAGTGACGGGGAACCGCTGACGTGCAGGAGGTGCTTTATAGAGGAAGGAAGAATTTCCAGTTACTGTCATCACCTCGGTCAGAGGCACCACGGGCTTAAAGGAAACACAGACTTTGCTGACTGCGCACCACAGAGGGTAGTTCTGGATTAGAAAAGCACCACGTGAGGACACAGAAAGCTGTATTACAGCAGGACATAATGGGGATAGGACCTGGACAATGTGACAGGGGATGAGGATAGGAGAGCAGTGTATCAGCATGTTTCTGCCACACAGTGGCAAGATAACATTGACTATGTCTCTGGCCTTCATCTCATGTTGCTTACTGAACCCTTAAAGTTGCCAAGAAAGTGGCACTCTCACTGATGGGAGAAAATTGCCCCGTACCATTCCTTGTTCCCACTCCCATATCGCTCCTTCCATAGGGTCAGAATTCTTCTGCTGAATGGCTTTCAGCTGCATCAGTTTCCTCTCCAGCTCACCAGGGGGTCATGGAAAATTGGGTCAATGCAAGGATAAACACAGCAAGACTGCTTTTTGCATCAGTGCTGATTTGAGACATTTATCAGACTGTAAACTCACTTGTCTAATTCCCCTTAGGATCCAGATCTTTTCTTCCCAGGCAGTTTTCCACAGATCCATGTCACCTGACATTTCCATTTCCATGTCCTCCCAAGGACCAGGGTGTCTTAGACTAGAGGTGCCGGCAGGGGAAGGAGGGACCTCCACAACAGCAGTCCAGGAAAGGAGTTTCAGGTACTTGATGCTCTCTCCAGGGATGGGGAGAGATGGGCACAGCAACCCCTGCAGACAGCAGAGGCAGCGGTTCCTGAAGAACTTCAATAGAGTTGCAGGACTGGACATTTCTGACCCGTAAAGCCACTCATTTCTGCTGTGTGTGCGTGTTCCTTGTAAGTAAACCCTATGGCTAGGACTTGATTGGAAACAAGGTCTGGTTTCAAAAGTCAAGGGGTCATTAATAAAACACCAGCTTGAGCTCCAAGACACAAACCTCAGAAAATCAAACTGAAGTTTCTGGTACTCACTGGGGTAATTTTCCCCACTTGCAAACAGCTGCTTAATACACCAGATTTTTTGTTGAAAAGAGAAATACCAATAGAGATAATATACAGTATCCATTCCCTGAAGTATAACTGTAAGTAATATCTAGTCGTCTTTTCTCTGGTGAGGCAGCAGGCAGGCCAGCTGGCTGCTTTCACTCTCAGTCACCAACACTTCCCTCTCTCCCACTAATGCCTCCAGTTTGGGAGTGCCTGGCTGGTTTTGCTCTTTAGTTCTGGTATCTCTGCCCTCGATGAATTATGTGCCACCCATGGGTGGCTGGGGATCACCTGACTCTGAGGTCTTGCTAATGGAAATAGTGCAAGTCCCACCGCTGTGAAGAATAACACACAACAAACTGGGGATCAGCTATGAAATCTACAGGCAACAGCATCCATAGCAGGGTCAGGGTTGGGAAGGGTCACATGCCCAAAGCCAACAAAAGAGACAAGGTGGGTGGATGTCAGTGCAGAAATTTAATAGCATCTTCAAATGCTTCATCTGGGAAGCAAGACCCTGACTTGTGCTCAGCGGGGGCTGCCCACTAAGGGAAGGAGACTCACAGAAAAGAGCTCACAGCCTCTTGTCTGTTTTAGAGGTCTACAGCACAGAGAAGCACAATGACCTACCTAGGGCTGATGGGGTAGGCATATGCTAGTGGGGGCAACACAGTCCCCAACAGAGACGTGTAAGAACTGCAGATAGGATGCAATGTCTTCCCAGTGCTTTTCATAGAATCATAGAATCATAGAATGGTTAGGGTTGGAAGGGACCTTAAAGATCATCTAGTTCCAACCCCCCTGCCATGGGCAGGGACACCTTCCACTAGACCAGGTTCCTCCAAGCCTCATCCAGCCTGGCCTTGAAGACATCCAGGGATGGGGCATCCACAGCTTCTCTGGGCAACCTGTGCCAGTGCCTCCCCACCCTCTCTGTGAAGAATTTCTTCCTGACATCTAATCTAAACCTC